CAAATATTCTCAAAAACCTCGAGACCAAGCTCACGTCAAACGCACAAGAAAGGTGTTTAATCGGGCGAGCACGAACCAACAAATCATCTAAGGTAGCTTCGTCGAGGCGGGAACCGATCATCCTCTCCACCTTCTTCACCCAAAATCTCTCCATTTTCAAAACGAAACAAAGCCGAAGCACGTCACAAAGTCCTCTAAACGGAAAACTCGAGCTCCCCCGATCGAGCGAGCTAAGTGATGTCACCAAAATCTCGACAAGCTTACACTTCTCATCTCTCTCCAAAAGAGAACCAAACTTAATTTTTTGATAGTGTGCGAGGAACAAGCAAACGAGCCTGTTTTCCAACTTGCGTGAAATCATGGCGCTCGTGACCTTCTCGAACATGCCAACGTTCAAGAACTCGAGATCTCTCAACCAATTAAATCTCCTGAAATTGCTAGACCGGCTGCTGCTGCCGCCGCTACTGCTTACATCTCCCGACGAGTACTGCAAACCAGAATTATCGGAGGCGAAAAAATACGAGAAGGGGCTCGATACGTTGGGCATCGAGACCTTCTCGACGAGGGCTTCGAGGATTTCCCGAGCGACATACGACGAGTTTGTGAAGTGTATGAGTTGTTGAAACTGCTTTAGGCAATCGAGAAGCTCGAACCACGTCCAGGAATGGATGGTTTGAAGGTACTTCTCGGTTTGGTTCTCGCTGACCTCGAGGAACCTGGCCGCGGCGTGAAGGAGGATGACGTTGGACGGCAAAATGACGATTCTACCCCCATTGTAGCAGAACCGGACAACCAGTTCGAACCCTTCGGGCCCGCCGGGGAAGCCGTGGAGCAGCAGCTTGAACCCGGTTTTCTTCGCGGTCGTTGAGTCGCCCAACAGTCTTCGGAGTTTGCCGGAGAAAAACGCGACGAGTTTCTGCAAACCAAAATATAAAAATAAATAGAATTGAAATTGGAGCTTTAACGCTTAAGTGAATATTGAGATGATGATTAACATAAAATTTACGAGGCAGATAGAGAAAGTCTCTTGGCCATTGACTTCTACTTCAAGATTACTGAACATGGTTTTAGTGTAGTGACAAAATGAAGGAGAAAGAGAATCTCTTTTGTTTGATCTAACAGAAGTATGACTATATATATGTGGGGAGATGCTACGGTTCCGTTACGGAATCATTCTGTCGGGTTTGTAACCGTTAGACCAACTATCCTCGACGGTTACATAATGATCTAACGATTACAAACCTCGACGAAATAGTTCCGTAACGGGACCGTAGATTTTCCCCACAAGTTAGTTAAGAAAACGAGTGATTAGTGCAAAAAAATAATTGACAATTTATTGAATATAAAAAAAGGAGTTTGAAATTTGTTTATAAGTAGTCAATGAGAGATTGAGTGGCCATCATAAACGCATGCATTATTAAGAATTTTAGTATGAACTTAGTATTGTTTTGTCGTAGGAATTAATAATAATTACCTATCACGCTTCTTGACAACTTTCTTTATTATGTAAGAAATTAAACTTATATAAAATATCAAAAAAAAA